TTAAGTCCCCAAAGTCCTGGATCTTGGTCTTGGTTCAGGAGACTTATAGAGCCAAGGGCTTCACTTCATTACTAAATGCATTGAGAGCCACCACTAAGATTCCAAGGACTCAGATAGAATTGCAACATCATCAGCAAAGTCAAGGTCTGTAACCTTGATATTGCCCAGAGTTGCTCCACAATGACTTTGAACAGTAGCTCTGCCCAGTATCCAGTCCATGCAAGTGTTGAAAAGTGTTGGTGCAAGGACACAGCCTTGCCTCACTCCTGAACTAACAGGAAAGAAGCTCAAAAGGCCCCCACCACACTTTACAGCACTTTTAGTACCAGTATACAGACTTGCTATTAGTCCAATAAAGGTGCTGTCACACTAGCACTTTTTCCGTCAAAGTCTGTATACTGGTATCGCCCCCCTAACTTCAGTTAGGGAGGGAGTATTCTCACTGATGGGTGGGTCCAGCAACAAAATCTCGGCACTACCTGCATCCAAGTTAACTGCTGGTGGGTCAATGACAAAATGCTTATCTTAATTCTGCTTATTACACCTTTATCCCATCAACCACTGGTACATGTTTTTTTGTTTTGCTTTTTCTATCTCTTTCTTCTTTTTTTTGGTGTGTGTGTGTGTGTGTGTGTGTGTGTGTGTGTGTGTGTGTGTGTGTGTGTGTGTGTGTGTGTGTGTGTGTGTGTGTGTGTGTGTGTGTGTGTGTGTGTGAAAATTTAGTTACACATAGATAGCTCCACAAGTGCTCACCAAAGAAGTCTATTAGTATACCCTATTTGAGCACACCTGATTTACTCATTCATTGAATTTTCCAGGATTTACTTTTTTCCGAGTTATTATCATCAATAATGTTATCATCATTACTGACATTATTAGTAATCTTATTAACATGACAAAAAAAAAAAGGAAATTAGTGTACAGATGAGATATGTAGGATCAGTAATGGACTCCTGTAAGTCTAAAGGGGGCTGTCGCACTCAAGAACAAAATTTGTTAATTATAATCGGATTTTCACGATTTTTTAATATCTTTTATATACATATGCTACAATTTACAGCACCGAGTTTCACAGCATTTGGATAATAAACAATGAAGTTATTAAAAAAAAAAAAAAATTTAGAAAATTTTATAAAATTATAAATCTCACTTATCCATTGACCGAACTTGTTAAAAAAAATACCACGTATAATCTATAGTAATACCTATATTATCAAGAATCGGATTTTGAAATTTCTTCTTAGTTTACTATAATTTTTTTTGTTCATTTTCAACCCAGTAACGCCGGTATATATTGAAGCTGAAAATAAAAATTTCCGGGCGGCTACAAAATTGGCGCATGGGGCTGGTCCAGACTATGCCCGCGCGCCGGCCACAGCCTACTGCCGACTCAGAGTGCAAGCCCTAATACAGCAAAACACTGGCGGGACTCCTGGCAATTTTTCTTTTTCCGGGTGTCTAATATGTGGGACATCCATCGTAAATGGGTTAACCACAAAGTATGATGTATAGACTTTTGTCACCTGAAATGAAAATCTGATCATTGAAAAAATTGCCTGTTTATTCAGCTTTCAAATGATCCAAACCCCATTAGAATCACCCAAGTACTTATGGCGAAACAACAAAGAATCTAGACAAAGGTGTAGTTTTGAGATATCAGGATTTGAAGTTGAGGATAAATTTTCCTCCATTTTCTTTTCTTTTTCTTTAGAAATCTGATATCTGTGTCAATCTTAATGTATTCTATGGCATTCACATGTATTCTAAAATGTATTTGGTACCTGGCAACCCCCACTGAGTGATGGCACATCAAGGATGGTGTCCAGCCGAGGCATGGAATGCGCATCCTCTCGCTCCGGATCTCTCATGGCGACTGCCAGCCTTGTCTCTTTGTCATGGCTATCAGCTGTGCCGTAAGCAGAATTTCCAGCAAGCTACCAGAGAATACCAAAATAGATTTAACCCATTACCGCCAGTATATTTTGATGCCGAAAATAAAAGATTCCGGGCAGCTACAAAATCGGCAAAACCAGAGTACACCAGCAGCGGCCCACTGCTGCGTCGGAGCGCGAGCCCCGATGCAGCGTCACAATGGCGGGACGACCAGCAATGTTTATTTTTTGGGGTCTCTCGTGTGGGACACCCGTCATTAGTGGGTAAAAAATAATCTTGAAAAAATAAGGTAGTAAATTTTCACGGATTTACGTATTTAGCATAAATATTACGTCATGAGATTACTAAAGCCTACTAGATTACAGATTTTTTTTTTTTTTTCAAATCTGAGTATTTTTTATATTAGTCGAAAATTCATTGCGAAGGCCCCATTAAGCCTTTTGAAGCCACCTCAGGGTAAACAATAAACTAAAAATACCTTGGACATGGCATAATGTCATGCAATCTGTAACCAGTGTGTTCACCCCCCTCTTTCCTTATTTACATGTCTCTCCATATGCTTGTATCAATCTCATCTGGTCTGGTAAAGATAACAATAGATTAGAAAGACTAGGAACAATTTAGACATGTAAAGTGTTAAGGGGACCGTCCCTGATGGAAAGGGGGGGGGGGGGGGTAAATTGAGTTAGTTAGCGTATAG